GGGGCAGCAGGAAGTCAGGTAGGGTGGCTTCCTGCCTTTCTCAATTCCTGGGCCCTGCCCACCTGCAGGGCTAGGCCCCGGCGCTGCCGGGAGCTGATTCAGCCAAGTTCACACAATGTATCAAATAACACACACATCCACAATAATCAATCACAAACTCCAGGAGCCATCCCATGACTGCATGAGGTGTGGGGGGACACCTTTACATAAACAATAACACTAAGCAAATTGTCTACCATCCTCAATCGGTTCCAGAGGTTTTTCTTAACTATTACAAATAAAGTTGATATGAGCAGTTATACACAAACCTTCACGTGAAAATATATGTATTAGTTTATTTTCTAACACTATGATAAGATAGCTGAAACTGAGTATTTATTAAAAAAGAAAAAGAGGTTTATTTAGCTTACAGTTTTGGAGGCTGAACATCCAAGACTAGCAGCCTCAGCTATTCAACCTCTAAAACAGACCCTTTCAGCTGTGTCACAACATGATAAAGAATCAGGAAAGGAGCCAAATATTTACAGAAAAGTGTGAGTACATGGGGTAGACTCACTTTTAACAATCCACTCTCTTGGGCCACAGACCAGCAATAATTGCTTCTGAGAGCAGTGCCCACAATGACCTAATTACTTTACAGTAGGCACAATCTCTTAAAGGTATAACTACAACGCCATTACCCCGAGGACCAAGCTGACACCAGATAAGTCTTTGGGAAACAAACCATACTTGAGCATCGCATACAGTATGCTTTCATTTCTACTGAAGTGCAGTTCACCTGTAATACCATTCATACTTCTAAGGTATACAATTTTACTGGACAGCTGTGTGCAGTTTACAATTTTATAGGCAATTATAACTATGCGCCCACCACCATAGTCAAGCTTTAAAGTATTTCCATTACCCAAAAAAGTTCCCTTGAGCTGTTCTTTCCCTTCCCAGCCTCTGAAAATCACTAATCTGGCTTCTCTCTCTCTGTCTTTTCTTTTAAGACTGTTGTATAAGTAGAATCACATAGGGCATTCCATTTTGTGTCTGGCTTCTCACAACACACTTCTGAGATTTACACATATTTTGCATGTATCAGTAGTTTGTCTTCTTTCCTATTGCTGATTAGTATTTCATTGTATAAATGTAAAACAAGCTGTTTATTTGCTCACCAGTGAGTGTATTTGATTTTTTTTTAATTTGGGGCAATTATTAATAAAGCAGACACAAACATCTCCATACATTTTTCATTAATAAATACCTAGGAGTGTGATTACTGAGTCATAGAGTAGATATAAGTTTAACTCTATAAGTAATTTAGTCAGTAACGTTTGCTTTTTCCTTATCCTTTGTCTTTCTTCCTTCCTTCCTTCCTTCCTTCCTTCCTTCCTTCCTTCCTTCTTTTCTTCCTTCCTTTCTGTCTTGTTTTTTTCCCAAGCTGATTAATAGGACATTTTCAATAATTAATACATTGCACATTGTTACCTTCTCAGCAGTCATCCATAGTAGAAGAAGCAGCCAGGACATCCCATCCAAACACTACTACTACAAATCCTTCTTCTCACTGAACCAAGCGGAAGCAGCCGTACATCTATCCTAACTATTCTGTATATACAAATACAAAATGGTCCTTCCTCTGTATCCCCCCTCTCCAGTTCAGTCCTGTCAGAGATGGATATTCTATCGGCATCTAAATATTATAGGTGCTTGAATTCAGCAAAACAATCCAACACAGTCCAGTAGTCCACAATAATAATGGGTTGTCCTCAAAAGTTGTTGACTAGAGCCTTTTACAGTTCAGCATATTAATACGGCTTTACTTTATAAATAGTTTTTTTTTTCCAGAACCAGGAATTGAACTCAGGCCCTTGCACTTGCCAGGCAAGCACTTATTCTACTGAGCTATCTCCCTGGCCCCTCTGTCTCATTTTTTGAGACAGGGTCTCTCTATGCAGTTCAAGCTGGCCTTGAACTCACTAGATAGCCTAGACTGGCCTCAGACTTGTGATGATCCTCCTATTTCAGCCTCCCAAGTGCTGGGGTTAAGGTTATGTACCTGGTCTACATTTTTATTTTTATATTAGCTACTTTTACCTTACTTATCTAAATTAGATCCTATCACTTTTCATTTTAGACATGTTTGTTCATATATCTTTAAATGCTTGTCTCATTGTTCTCCAGTGAAACCTATGCTATTAATCCCCCTACCCTGGATCAATCCAACTGTCCCATTCTTTGCACTATTCTGGAACTACTTTGAGAAAACTCATTGAATGCTCTCATATACAATGACATAAATTGGTTTCTTTAAGCTCAAATGGCCCTTTCATTGTGTTTTTCTGGGAAGCTCACATTTTCCCAGCAGTAATCCTACCAACATTCATTCTCCTACCTCCTTTCTGCTGAGGTCCTAGTAGAAGACCCCTCACCAGAAGTTACATAGCTTCATGTCTGCCTCTTGTACTGTGAATAACTACTTATGAAGACAACAATATGCAATGTATTAATTATTCTAACTGTCCTACTAACCTGTTTT